ATACTTGCGTTCTGTGATGTTGTCATTTCTTGTGCTCAAGGAGCCGATTTCTGAGAACTCACGGCAGTGTGCCTCCCCGAGATGTCATCCAATTTTGCGCCCAGAGATGTTATTCCGAGCTAGCCCTTCCGAGATGGTTACTGGACCCTGTTCAGTGAGGTAGCTGTAGTCTGCTCTTAGATCCGCTCTTCCAGTATTGCTCCATCTCCAGCCTTGGTGTTGCTGTTGTCATGCTGTTTCCTGCCACTGAGAATACAGCTTGGATTGTTCTGTGAAGAACAGCTGGTTCATTCTTCTGCTTCCATTTCTCTGGTATACCTCTTTAAGCGCCTGGCTTGAAGGCTATGAGTCTTTGCTTGGCAGTTTCCAAGGCCTCAGATATGGACAGATTGCTGTACTTCTTAGGCACCTTCCACATCACACCTTTCTGTGACTTCGATAGTTGGCCAACTTCCCCCCATGCTACTTTGATCTCACACAAACAGCCTGAGAGAAGAGCTTGAGAAGCTCTGGAGGATGAAGGCAACAGTGGTCCCAGTGGTAATTGAAGCGCTCGGGGCAGTGACTCCCAAGCTGGTGAGTGACTACAGCAGGTCCCAGGAACAACATCTGAGATGTCTGTCCAGGGGAGTGCAGTCCTAAGAACAGCAAAGATGCTGCACAGGACACTCGAGGTCCCAGGCCTCTCATGGAGGACCTGAGCTTGAAGGATAAAGAATACCCCCAAGGTGAGTAAGGACTTTTTTTTGTACTCTGTTAAGGTCCTCACTATCTAATAGAATCTACTCACCTCTGTGGACAGCCCACATTATGCAAAATGCAGAACCACCAATCTCGTCAAAGGGTTTCTTGCGTGTGATGACCTCCCACAGGATAATCCCCCAGCTGAACACATCACACTTTTCACTGTAGTTACTGCCTGAAGAATATAAACCAAAACCATATTTAAAATAATCTGAAAGTTATAGCCAGCAAAATACAGGTTAAAAGTGATGGTCATTAGGTAGTTCACAGTGACAAACTCGTGCAGTTGTACTAAATAAGTTTATATATCCCTCGTGTCATAGTTAATTAACTGACACCAAGTGTAGTCCTCCTTCAACACCTGCCAACACTCTGATCTTTCCTGGGTTTCTCATACATTTTAAAACCACTACCCTTTGGCTTCCTGGCTTCATTTCTCCTGGTAAGATCTACAGACAATACATTGGACTTCTTTGCTTGATCAACTATGGGACCTTATATAGACAGGTGGGTGCCTTTCTAAATCACATCCAATCAACTGAATTTTCTACAAATGGACTCCAATCAAATTGAAGAAAAATCTGACAAATGATCAGTGGAAACAGGATACACCTGAGCTCAATTTTAAGAACCAAAGTCTATAAATGTTTATATACACACACATACATACATATATACATATATATACATATATATACATATATATATACACACACATATATACATATATATACATATATATACATATATATATACACACACATACATACATATATACATATATACATACATATATATATATATATATATATATACACACATATATATATACACATA